CAGAGATAGTTTCATCAACCAAAAAGTTGATGGTGTTGCTTATTACTTTATAGACTATTCAAAAACATTAAGGAACATAGTTGGCTCCTATGTCATCCTTACTACCTTACCTGAAAATGACTCCTCTTCCTCATTCCTAAAATGTTCAAATATTTTTTGTGGATAGCACGGCATTTGTGGATCAAAAAGGGAATCGTGTGCATGACGTTATGTGTTGGGTTTTTATGAAGATTTTATTTTCAGGATTTAAAGAAGGAACGTTGGCAGAACAAATTTGTAAAGGAGATGGAAATCTCTAAAATTACAAAAAAATTAGTTAAAAATTTTTTTAATAAATGAAAAAACTTTGTGGTGTCGACAACAGATAAGAGAGTCATTTTTTTCGCAATTAGCTTTGTTTTACATTTTACAGTAGTTTGTCAATAAGTTTATGTGATTTAATTATTTTTTCGAAATTTTGGTATCTAAATTGAGAACAACGACAAATTAAAGAATCCAATTGTTCAAATTTTTTTTTACGTCAAAAATTGAAAAGAAATACCAAAAAAATAAGATGAGATAAAAAAGAAGATACCAAAAGAAAATGATGGTTGATGAAGAGGAAAAAAGAAATCAACGAAACTCTGAACGGAAAGATTTGTGATTGTGGAAAATAAAAACTAAATGGAAGATTTAAGCAGAAAAAAGAAAAAACAGACGGATAGAACTTGAAAGTCATTATGTCCCTTCACTGCTATCAATTAAATTCAACAGAAAGTGTGTACCCAATATCTCCAAACCAAACCTTATCTCCAATGAGAAAAAAAAGAAAGCAATATACAATTACAAAAAAAAGAGAGGTTTGGACACATGAAGAACATGCTTTATTTGTTGAAGGACTTTCTTTGTACCATAAAGATTGGAAACGAATAGAAGGACATGTTAAAACTAAGACAGTAGTTCAAATTCGGAGTCATGCTCAAAAATATTTCTTGAAACAACTAAAACAAAACAACAGTAATTCTTCTTCTCGTAGTATTTCTCCAAATTCTTCTGAATTTCCTCATGACAAAAGTCCATCAACGAAAAGAAGACATTCACTTTCTGCGTTTTCACCAGCTGCTCCAACTGAATTTACTGTAACTGCATTTTCAGAGAATAATTCTCCAAAGATGAGCTCATCACCAATGAATGAAGAACATTCAACTACATTCTTCCATCCAATTTATACTGATTAAATATGTTTCTTCTTTTCATAAATTTCTGTTTTATACCTCAAAAAATTATTAGTGGAGTAAAATTATTTATTTAAGGAAAATTGGAGTTTAAGTCTATTGAAAAAATAATTGTTGTGTTCATAAAGATTCTAATCGATACAACAACAGATTAAACATTTCTTAGTCCTTCGCTTGTACTTAATCAATCAAATAACTGATGTGTAAACGAAGTTACGTTCAACAAAAACAATTCTATTTAAAATGAATTACTATTAAACAGTAACCCAATTCAAGTAAGTCCTACAGAAATTGTAAATAACCAACTGTCCTTCTCACCAAATAATTGACTCACATCAACTCAATACGGAATCTTCTCCCATTCCAAATGAAATTAAAATTAATTAAAATGGTCAATATTTTCCTTATTTTCTAATCATTTTTTGTTTTTCTTCTTTAACACAACAACAACCTTCTCACACCTTTGTTGATTTACGTCACCCTCATTTTAATGAGACGTTTATCAAAAAGAGTTAAGAAATGAAAAAATAATTATTACGTTTACTTTGTTAGCACTATTTGTTTAATGCTTTGGGGGTATTACTTTCTATTCAAGAAAAATGTATAAAACAATAGTTCATGTACTAAGAATAATAATATGTCTTGTTGGGTTTATTTTGGTATTTGGTTCTTTTATTCTTTAAATTTTTACAATTAATTTACAATTATTTTATTGTATAAATATAGTTTTTAATTAAAAGAAATAAACATGAACTCAGAAGTGTATTTATATATGAACGAAGTGAAATCAAAAGAAGGGTGGAGTATTTTTATTAGAGGAATTAGTCCAATGATTGAAAAGGATGATTTAAAAGATTTTTTGATTGAGTTCGGTAAAATTAATTCATTACTTTTGTATGAAAGAAAAAGTTGTCCAACACAAAAATATGCTATAGTCTTATTTAAATTAAAAGAGCAAGCAGAAAAGTGTATAAATGAGATTGATGGTAAGACACTCTTAGACCATCGTTTAGAGGCTGACTTCGTTTTTATGAATCATTAAAATGTTTTATATTACATTTTTTTTTTGGTTAACTGAATAGAAGGAAAAGAGAATACAATATGAACTGGAAAAATGAAATGAATTTGATTTACTTTTTCTTCATCATTTCTCTTGGTCAATGTCTTAGAAAAGAAGAAAAGGTTGAAGAAATAATAATTGTCTCATCAAAGTGGAATGAAGAAATAAACCAGACTCTCCAGACATCTTCATTTAAGATAGGAATACAAAATAATGAACAATGTATCCAAGAACTCGAAAATATTAAGAAACAAATCTCAACTCAAAACGAAACACTCATTTCGTCTCAAGAAATTAAAGAGGAACTACTTAACACAATAATCAACCAAAATAAAGGAGTAAAGGAAGTTATTCAACGGTTTACTTCAAATACTACATTCTCTTCTTTAAAACAATTAATATTCTCACAAAAAAGATTTAAAGAGAAACCAGAATTACAACAATTTTATTTATTTTTAATCCAAACAATTCTTAGTAGAGAAGATATTATTCAGTGTCTTAGTCCTTTTATTCAATATTTTAAAAAAATTATATTTTTATGTAAAGATGGACATTGTTCATTATCAGATAAAAAGAGCAACCACTTTGTCATTGTAAATGAAGAGACAATTTTGTTTCTTCAATTACTTCTTGAAAAAGAACAATTAGAATTTCCAATACCAACAACTTATCTTGAATTTATTATTACCAAAAGAGAAAATGTTTCATTTATTAAAGTGAAGATGAACAATTCTATTATTCTTATTGGTCCTAATCATCAACGTTCTTACGAACTTACTTATTTTCTTCAATTAATTGAATAGCATTTTTTAATTTAATTATGTGATTTACACTAAGGACAAATTCTATATTTATTAGTAAAAAAAACTAAAAAAAATTAAAGAAAAAAGATAATTGATTCGTCTAATATGGACCAACAACAGAACCCAATCAAATTATTAATAGAAGAAAAAATAACTGTTCCAACACGAGAAAATTATATAAACCAAATTCAAAAAATGAGAAAGGCAGTAATGACACATGACATGCCAACAGATGACCAGTGTGAAAAGATTTCTACGAGAGGGAAAGTGTGGAAAATTTTATTAGGTATTTATAAAATTGATTCATTTGAGTATTGTGATTCTGGAAAGACTGATGATGCAAAATGGGAAAATATTTTTAAAGATTATAGTAGAACTTTTAGACATGATGATATTTATGAACAGCGTAAATGTAGTGATAAAATAGTTAGATTATTAAATCATGTATGTGCCGCTATAGGGAGTGAAGATGTTACTTATCTCCAAGGAATGAATTTAATTGCAGGAATGTTTCTTGCAGTTATGCCAGAGTTAGATTCATATTATTGTACAAAAAAAATGATTTTACAATTATTACCAACTTATTATGGTAAAAATGGTAAATATTATGGTGTTTGGTGGGGTTGTAAGTTAGTATTTGATTGTATGAAATATATTGATCCAGTTCTTTATTCACATTTCTATTCTTCTCGAAGTAATCCAATTGTTCTTATGCCTTGTTTTAATGGACTTAGTTCAAATACTTCTCCTTTAAATGAAGCTTTAATCCTTTGGGACTATTATTTTGCAAAAGGTTGTTTTAATGTTGTTTATATAACTTTGGCTCAATTAGTTTCTTGTAGAAAAATTCTTTTTCAAGTTTCCAATCCCTCAGCAATACTCAAAGACTTCCCTTCTTTACAAGCTAAAAAATTAATTTTATTGGCAGAATCATTTAGTCAAGCTATTCCTTCTGATTTACAAAAATTAGTTAAACAACACACTATTTCATTAGATTTAAATCCTTTTAAAGATTGGAAAGAAATTACTTCTGAAGAACAATGTTTTAAGAAGTTCTTTGAATAAATATTTAATTTTTTTTTATTACACTCTATTCTTATTTTTTGAGTTGATGTAATAAATTTGAAAGATTCTTTGATAATCGTATTATCATCTTTTTATTTTCTGTTTCTCTTTCTTTTATTGTTTCATTTATAGGTCTATCAATAAAATGTGATGATCCAACGATAAACATATTGTTTGAGCAAAACCAATGATTGATTGTATCATATACATAAACTGAACCTCCTTTATGTGGTACAACAACGGCAACTCCTACTTTTCTTTCTAATTGTTTTGAAAGAATTAATCCACAAAGATTCATCATTCCTTTTACTTCTAATGGAACATCATAAAAATAGGTTGGACTTCCAATTACTATTCCATCAGATTCTTTCATTTTTTTAATAAGTTCATTAACTATAGGATCTCCTTGTAAACATGTTTCACTCTTTTTACAAGTTTTATATGATTTACATGATTTTATTTCTTTGCCTCCTAATTGGAAAAATGTTGTTATAATACCTTCTTTTTCTAGTTCTTGTTTTATCAAACTAAGCATTAAAAAGGTTGTTCCATTTAATCGAGGACTTCCATTAATAATAAGAACTTTAGATAAGTTTAATCTTTCGTTCATATAGTTTTTAATGAATAAGTTAAAAAGATGATTAATAAGTAGAACCCAAACAAAAGGAATCATCAAAAAAGATAATAAAAATAGAAATAAGTAACAAAAACAAAAAAACTAAGAATTCTAACTAAAAAATTTTAAAAATAGGTCAAATAGAACTAAGAAAAAAAGAAGAACTTAGAAAAAAAGAAAATGTTGTTGTATCTTCTTTTTATTTGTTATGGTTTATCAGCTGGATTAGAGAAGGTTGATTTTACATTAAATGATAAAGAATATGTTATTATTGACGTTCAACATAATAATATTCCACAATATATATCTAATGTTTATGCTTATAGAAGTAAGTCATCAGGAAATTCAATTACTATTGTAGTTGACGGAGAAAAAGAAACAAAAAAATACCAATATCAAACCAGTGAATTAAAACGTTTACAAATTGGATTTGCAAAGAATAATATGTACGTTTTAAATAATGGAAATGTTGATGTTTTTGATCTTAATTCTACTATTTCTGGAGTAATTTCACATAGTTATCCATTAAGTAATATTGATTCATATTCACCAATGACTGTTATTACAAAAGAATTTACTTCATATAAACCAGAAGTATTTATTGTCCTTTGTCAAAATAATGGGTTGACAGTATTTAATGAAACCTTTAATATAGTAGATTCTACAAAACATCCATGTGGTAATTTTTCATCTTATGGGTATTCTTATTTAATGGTTAGAGGAGGAGGTGATGTAGAATTATATACTTTAAATCAAGGAGGTAAATTATCGTTTTATACTAATTTTGAAATTAAAGATAATAGTTCAATCACTTTTAATTATGATATGTCTATTATTAATGAATATGACGTTGTCTATAGTGTTATTTCTGATAAAAATAAAATTCAAGTAAATTCACCTAATAACTATGCTTATCCAACATTTATTGATAATGTATTTATTAATCCAAAACAATTTGTTAATCCAATTAATACTCAATATGTTCCTATGATTTCTACTTATAATAGTTTCTTGGTTATTGGTGGTTTTGGTTATTCTGTTGGAAGTATTCAAAGAGGAGGTGCAGTTTCAGTATATTTTGATAACTATTTAGTTAGTACAAAAGATAGATTTAAATTAATATATAGTTTAGTTTCAAATAGTTCATATGATTATATGGGATATTCTGTTGCTATGGATTCAAAAACACTTTACTATGGTGGTAAAACAAATGTCCTTCTTAATGGAAGTGCTACTACTGGAAAAGTTGATGTTTCAAAAATTACTGCTCAATATTGTACAGGAACATTATGTTATTGTGCTCCAGGATATTATTATAATTCTTACATGAAATCATGTTTAAAACAAATTGGAGGTGTCTCATCAATTATTATTGCTGTTATTTGTATCTTTATTCTTATTTTAATTATTGCTTTAATTAGTGTTTTATATAAAAAATGGAGTAGAAAACATGCTAAAAGTTTCACTATTGATGGTCAGTCTTATCCTTTTACTCCTTTAGAAGAACTTCCAGTTACATTCTCTACTGAAGTATTAACATTTGGTTATGAAGACGGTAATAAAGCTCCAATTAATCGTACATTAGAACAAAGTCTTACTATCACAAATAATTCTACTGTGAATAAACAATTTGATATTTCATTACCAACAAGTTACAAATTTAATATTCAATCTAATGTTACTAATCTTTCTATTAATGCTGGAGAACAAGGAGTTGTTAGATTCACTATTACTTTCCTTTGTACATGTTCATGTAATGATGATGATATTATTGCATTTGCTATTGCAGAAGAAGGAAATGAAGAACCTAAATTTGTTTATGTTACAATTAATGTATCAACAGAAGAGAGTGTATTTATTGATTACAAAGACCTTCTTATTAGTAAAAAAATTGATAATGGCCCTAACTCAGAGACTTCATTAATTAATTATAAAGATAAGTCATACGCAATGAAAAAGTTTACCACTGAATTTAATGAAGAATTAATGAATGTTTTTAGAAATAAAATTAATTCATTAATTAAATTAGAAAATGAATATTTATTACCTATATCTTTTGCTTGTATTGCACCACAAAATAATTGTCTTATTAATGAATATTCTATCATAGGTAATTTAAAAACAATTTATTCAATGAAAGAATCTCCTAAACAGTTAATTTGGAGATGTTTACTTAATGCTGCACAAGGTATTCAATACCTTCATCAAAGAGATATTATTCATAGAGATATTAAACCAGAAAATATTATTATTATTTCTACTGATTATTCAATGAAAGTATGTGCTAAATTAACTGATTATGATTTACCAAATGAATTAATTGGAAGTAAACAAGCAGCTCAATTAAATCAACAAATTGGACAAGAGATCTATTTCGCTCCTGAAGGAATTAATAATAAAGAAATAACTTCAGCTTATGATATTTATTCATTGGCAATTGTTATTGTCGAAGCTTTTGATAGAAAATGCCCATATTCTATGTTAGGAAGTTCTTGGGAAGTTCTTGAATTTGTTAATAAAGGAAAGAGAGTAGAAGTATCAAATAATATTCCACCAACTATTGCTTCAATCATTCTAAAAATGTGGGATCAAATCCCTGAAAAGAGATGTAAAATTAATGAAGTTATTGATGCATTAATGAATAGTGAAAAAGAATTAGAAGAAAACCAACAAACAGTAATTGATATGTCAAATGATATTGTTGGCTCATTACTTGGAGATGAACCTTCAATCCCAATACAACCTGTTCCAACTACTACTGTTACTCTCACTAATGAACCAGAAAAAATACCAAGTCCAACTCCAATTGAAACAAGTGAGGCAAATGCTGCTGATGATTTAACTGCTTCACTTCTTGATTCACTTTAAAAATGGTTCATTTAAAGTAAATTACTTTCAAAGAAAGAGAATTTTTTAATATATTTTCTTTTTTTTTAAAAAAGAATCAAATGAATTAATAATGATAATCATCTCTTCTATCTCTCCTATCATCTAATCTTCGTTGTTCTCTTGAATAAACATATTCATAAGAACCATCTGATTTTACGTGCACTGTTGGTGGAATATGTTTTAGTGGTATTTTACATATACCATTTTCATTATCAAATATAGATTGTTTCATCCAATATTCCATTCCCCAATATGCTTCTCTATTATCCTTTCCTTCAAATCCTTTTTTAAAATGTACCATAATTCCTTCAGCAGTTTTTCTATCAGCAATATAAACAACTTCAATTTTGTATGCTGGTAGATATGATTCACAAATATATTTTGGAATATAATTTGATAAGAAATCTTTTTGTTGTTGTTGGTCTGGTGGAATGTTTGTAAAAATAATTACATTTGATTTTACTAAATGATAAATACTTTTATTTTATTCTTAAATTATTTTTAACAAACATTCTACATATCCACTTTTATCTACTATTTGATTTCTAAAATCTCGTGATGCAAGTTGTGGAGGTGGTTGTTCTCTTACAACTGGAGCTCCATATCTTGCTCCTGATGGATAATTATTATAAGTATTATTTTGTTGAACTTGTTGATGTCTATACATATATTGGTGATTAGAATATGGTTCTTGAGGTGCTTTTGGTGGTGGATAATTAGATGGATTGTGGAAATAACCTCCTTGCATCTTTGTTTGATAACTGTTTTTCATTTTTCTTTGTTTTAACTTTTTTAATTCTCTTTTCGTTTTATATAACACAATTTTTTATTACTTAACGAAATAGAACTTAAAAGTACATTTGTCATGACCGAACGTATTAATTGTCAAATTCCTTTATTTGCATTAACTCGAGACAATACAAATTACTTTGCTGCAGGTGGTGGTGGAAGTTGTAAAAGTGGTATTAAAAATGGTATAATGAAGATTCCACAACTTGGAGGAAAACCAAAGTTTTATGATACAGGAGATGCATCAATTTCATGTATCATTTCTATTAAAGATCCAAAAGAAACAGATAAAAGACTTATTATTTATTCTGCCAATGAATATATTTATATTGCTAACGAAGAATTAGAAGTTCAAAGCAAGTTACAAGGATTAGAAGTAGAAAATGCTGAAGAAGAGATGATTGAAGTTAAAGTTATGAAGTATACTAAAAAAACACAGTCACTATTTGTTGGATGGAGTAATGGTGTTGTTCAAAAATATCATTTAGAGAATAAAAAATTAGAACTGATTAAATTGTTACAAAAAGAAACAGGAAAAGATGTTAATGGTATGTGTATTTCAGCTCATAAGAATAGGCTATTTGTTACATCTCATAATAGAAAATTAACTGTTTATGACACTGATTCAGGTGAAGTTTTAAAAAGTATTTATCCTGAGGACTTAAATAAAAAATGGGATAATGCACGTTTCTGGGGTTGTATAATTAGTTATAATGGAGACGAAGCAATTCTTGGATTAATGGAAAAATATCATCCATCATATTTACTTGTTCTTGATTCATACAAATTTACATTAAAGAAAACTTTATACTTATGTAAATCTCAAATTTCTTCTCCAATTACTACTGAACGAGCAAGAACACTAGCTAGTGTAGGATGTTCAGATGGAACAGTAGTTGTAATTTCTTTATTAAATTATAAAATATTGTCTATCAAAAAACATCACTCATTTGTTATTCCTGCTACAACCATTGATTTTAAACAAACAGTAGCAACAGTTTCTTTAGACTATAATTTTGTAGTAACACCAATAACGAATAAACCATGTTTGTGTTTTGTATTTTTTTTTTGTTTTTTAAATACGACTTACCTTTTAGATGGATTTATCATTTTGGGAATTCTTATGTTGTTTTTGGCTTGTTGTGCTTTTTACTATATGAAGATGCACTCTCACTAACACAATAATTCTCTTAATTTGTGTTATTAATTTTTCTTTTTTTGTTGAACTTGAAAATAATTTCTCTTCTTAAGGAAATAATACTTAAAATTATAATTAAACTATTAAATAGATCTAGAAAACAAGATTATCCGCAATGTCACAACAACCAAAGGTCAAAGCCCAACAAACAGGTATCCAAAGTAAATTAGGAACTCACTTTCAAACTATCTTTCTTCCAACACTACAACTTATTACACGACCACAAACAAATGATTTACTTAAAAGTTATCAAGATTTTACTACAGAAACATTACTCAAAACACTTCCTTTAAATCACCCAAAGAAAAAAATTATAGTTTGTGATAGACACTCTTTTATGATGATGGAACTTATTGGTGGTCAATACCTTCAAGATGACAATTACAATATTACTGATATGATATGCTATGAAGATTATAATGTTGAAAATTTCACACGAACATTTTTTAGAAAGACACTGGCATATTTTGTTATTGTTGATTCAACGATAGAAGCAGCAACTCATGCATTAAACTTTATGAATAAATCGTTGGAGAAATTTAATGAAATAGCAAATGATTCATATGTAATGACACCAGAAAACTTTTTCTTTTTCAGAATGCCTAAATTTACACCCTTTGATGGTAAATTATTAGATCCTTTTAAAACATCATTTAGATTAGGTAAAATAGATATTCCTGTTGCAGTTATTCAAGATGATGTCTTTAGTTTACAAGATGATAATGCATTTGTACGATTATTTGGTGAACGAGACGTTGGAATATTGAATGAAATTTATTCATCGTTGGATACGTTCCAAAAACGATTTGGTTATTTTCCAAAAATATTTAGTCGAGGACAATATTCACACCAACTTGCTGAGATGATGAATATTAAAAGATCAAATAATGAATTTAATAAAGAAGTAGATTTTGTTTATATTGTTGATAGAACATTTGATTTGTTAACTCCTGAATTAATTGCTAATAATTATGAATCATTGATTGATGAAGTATATGGAATAAATGATGATTGTACTACTGTTAATGTAAATTTAAGTATATATGATAAAGTTTTTGGAAGTTCAAAAGACTCAGACGTTGCTTATAAAGTACTTAGTGAAAAGAAAAATGCATTTATTACATTACATGGTAATTGGTATAATGAAATTAGTAAAGCTAATTTTAATGATATTCGAACAGTATTAAATGAAAAAATTAAAGCTACAAAAGAGTTACAAGAACTTACTCAACAAGAAAAATCTATTTCTAAGAAATTAGAAATGACAACCCATTTTAATATGTGTTTAGCATTTGCTACAATACATCCCCAAATTCATCAATCAATTATTTCATATGTTAATACTTATGATAATTTAGAGTTACAAGAAAAACAATTCCAATTTTTTGATTATGTATTTTCTTCAGCTAAACAAATTGCTGGATTATTTAAGCAAGACCTTGCTGGTCCAATAGAAGATTTGTTATTACTTGGAAAACATGAAGAAGCATTAAAACAATTAGCAATATTATGTGCTGGATATGATGGTATTAAACCTGATTTATATGATGAAATAAAGAAATTCTTTATCCAGTATTGTGGAATTGAAGAATTAAATATTTGGTCAAAAATGGAAATGTCTGGAGTATTAAAGAAAACAGGAGAGAAGTCAAGAAGTTTCACTGCTTTAAATTCAGCATTAAGATTATATGAAAAAGAAAATAGTTCAAGTTTTTATGGAGGATATACTCCATTAGTAGTAAAGTCATTAGAAAATATTATTTGTCCTCAAGAAACTGAAGAATCCTCTAATCAAAAAGGTGTTCTTGGAGCTGCATTAAAAGGAGTTAGTAAATTAACTTCTAAAAATTTAAATGACATATTAACTGAAGAAGAACACATGAAAATTACTAATATTAAAGAAACTATTGAAGGAGACCCAAAGAAAATTGTAGTATTTGTTGTTGGAGGAATTACATTTGGTGAAATTGCTAGTTTAAGAAGTTTATCACAAAAACTTGGAAGACCAATAATCATTGGTTCGACTCATATTATCCGTAAGAATAATTCTATGATTAACCAATTCATTCAATCAGCTGAAAAAGAAATGAGAATATTCAATTGAAATTAAAAATTTTTTCATAGAGATTATAATTGTTTTTTTTAGGGTTTTTTGTTTTTAATAAAATAAACTTAAAAATAAGAAGAAAACTTTAAATGTCAATTAAATTATCGCAACAATTTCAAAGAATTCTTCATAGTGGAAATAGAAATGAGGCCTTGTCTAATGGTATTCACACATCAAAGTATACTGTTTATAACTTTATTCCATATTTTTTATATGAACAATTTAGAAAATTAGCAAATGTTTATTTCTTATTTATTTCTTGTTTACAATTAATTCCAGGACTATCGCCAACAGGGAGATATACCACTTTATTTCCTCTTTGCGTTGTATTAATAGTTTCTGGGATAAAAGAAATTTATGAGGATCTTAGAAGACATAGAGATGACCAAAGAGAAAATAATAGAATGGCACTGAAAAAAATTAAAAATAATGTCATTGAAATACCATGGAAAGATGTTGTTGTTGGAGATCATTTAATTATTAAAAAAAATGAAACTATTCCATGTGATGGTATTGTAGTATCAAGTAGTAATAAAAATGGAGAATTATTTGTGGAAACAAGTCAATTAGATGGAGAAACTAATTTAAAGAGTAAATATTCTTGTAGTATATTTAAAGAATCAAAAGGGTTAGATGAAAAAATAGATATTTATTATAATGATCCTTCTTTAGAACTAACTAAATTTGAAGGAATGGTTGTTAATCAATTTAATGATGTAGAACGGTTAAATGAAAAACAGTTTCTATTAAGAGGAAGTAAATTAAAAAGAGTAAATGAAATTGAAATGATTTGTTTATATGTTGGAAGTGAAACAAAACAAATATTAAATGGAAAAGATGCTATTTTAAAAAGGTCAAGAATGGAATTACAAACAAATAGACTTGTTATGGTAATGTTTACTTTAGCAATTATATTATCAAGTATTAGCACAATTGGATTTTTTAAATGGAATTGGGAATTTGAATTATGGTATCTTAATGACGATGGAACAAATGATAAATTGTCATACCTTTGGATATTTTTTACTTTTATAATTCTTTATAATAATCTTGTGCCGATTTCATTATATGTATGTCTTGAAATTATTAAATTAATTCAGGCATTTTTTATTGAGAATGATGAAGACATTAAACATTCAGTAAATACAAGATGTAGAAACACAAATTTAGTTGAAGAACTTGGAACAGTTAAATTTATATTTGCTGATAAAACAGGAACATTAACAAAAAATGAAATGCGGTTTAAGAAATGCTTTGTTGATGGCAATGAGTATAATAATTCATTTTCATTTGATAATGCTAATAAAAAAGAACGATGGTTTTTAAGATGTTTATCAACATGTCATACAGCAGATAAAACTGATAAAGGATATAGTGCTTCATCAGCTGATGAAGAGATATTAGTTAGTCTTGCAAAAGAATTTGGAGTAGAATTTAAAGAAAGAAATTCAGAAGAAATAATAACAAGTGAAGGGACGTTTAGATATTATATAATTCCATTTAGTTCTGAAAGAAAAAGGATGTCAGTTGTGCTAATACAGAATGACAAAGGATGGATATTTATGAAAGGAGCTAATGGAATTGTTCAACGAAGTTGCCAAGATAAAAATGAAGAAATTGAAAAGAAATGTAAAGAATATGCAGAAGAAGGTTTGAGAATATTAGTTATTGCTGGTAGAGAATTAAAGAAAGAAGAAATACAAAATATTAATAAAATTAATGAAATTGGAAAAATGGAAAGCTTAGAAAAAGAATTAATAATATTAGGATGTACTGCTGTTGAAGATGAATTACAAGAAGGAGTTATTGAAAGTATTGAAATATTAAAGAAAGCAGGAATTGTTGTTAGTATGCTTACTGGTGATATGAAAGAAACAGCTATTACTATTGCAAGAAATGCACATATATTAAATAAGAAAGAAGAAGAAAGTGAACTTATAATAAGTGGAAATGAAATGAGTTTAATGCTTAAGAATAATAAAGAAGAGATTGTTAAAAAAATAATTTCCTCTTCTGGAGTTTGTGTATATAGATGTACGCCTAATGATAAATCTAATGTTGTTAATATCATTAATGAATATCTTCATCAACAAGAAACAATGAGTTCGACATTAAGTATTGGAGATGGCTGTAATGATGTTTCTATGATTAGAACAGCAAATATTGGAATAGGAATTACAGGTAAAGAAGGAATGTCAGCAGCAAGGGCTGCTGATTTTTCCGTAGAGAAATTTAGAGATATTGTTAAATTATTACTTGTTCATGGGAGATATTCATTTAATAGAATTGGGATATTTACTTCACATACATTATACAGGAGTATATTATTATTTATTACCCAATTTTATTTTGCATTCTTTTCGGGGTTTTCAGGAACTTCTATATATGAGAGATGGAGTTTGGTAATGTTTAATATTTTATTTTCAATATTATTACCAATGGTTGTTGCTACATTTGATAAAGATTATAGTCCATATGAATTAATAAGTAGACCAGAATTATATTTAACTGTAAGTTCTGTATATACTTTAAAAACAGTAATATTATGGTTTATTGATGGAATAATAGAATCAATGATAATATTCTTTTGTGGAAAATATTTATTAAGTGGAGATATTGGATTTGGAGAGATTGGGATAGGTGCGTTTGGATTTACTATTTATTGTGCCATTGTTATAGTTTCATGTTTTCATCTTGCAACATATTCTCATACATTTGTATGGCCATTTTATATATCAATGATTTTATCAATACTACTATTCTTTGGATGGTATATTTTTTATGGATTTGTTGGTGGATTTAAGTTTATTTCTATGGGAGAGTCTGTGTACATGTTGGCACTTAATCTTTGCTCTTTACCAAGATTCTGGATTGTTTTATTATATATTGTTTGTATTCCATTAGTTAAACCAACTTTTCTTCGTTGTCTTGAAGATATTAAAAAACAAAATGAAGAAATAAAACCCCTTAACACTCAAACTATGACGCTTTTCATGCAAACATCTTCTCAATTCTATAAAGTTAAAGAGGATTAGAAAAGTTATATTACAATACATTTATTTTTTTTTTGTTTTGGACTTATTTTATAAGTACAAGTATATAATATAAACTTGTTGATTTTTTAATATTTTTGAAGACTTCTGGAATAATTAACTATTATAATAAAAAAGTCATAATTTTAATAATTCTTTTCAATAAGAAATTTCATTTTTATAATAGAATTAAAGTCCATCCTAAAAACAAAATTTGATAAAGTTACTGTTGTAAATAGAAGAGAAGAGAAAAATTATTGATAAACTCATTTCAAATAAAACTAAAATACAACCAGAACAAAGTATTTAAGAATTATCTAGGGTCATTGAAGAGAATAACAGTGAAGATTTGACTTGTGAATTATTAATAAAGAAAATAAATGAAAAAGATGAAAATAAATCAGAAATTTAATGACTTTAATGTATAGAATAATGGACAAGCTAAAAAAATGTATATTAATGGGAAAAGTTATTGACTCAGATCAAAAAAATATTTGTTAGACATTTACCATTTGTAAAGAATCCAAAATATAGAACTTGCATTTAACATTTATTAGATATGTAGATGATAAATTATATTTATTATCACAATACAATAGAATTATACACACTGATATTCAAAGCATATAACTACAAATTGAAATAAGAAATTAATGACTCACTTGAGCTAATTAATTATTTATTGAAAATGATGGAACCAATAAGTTCATTTAATTTTGATAATGAGGGGTATTATAAAAATACTTCAATATGGTTACTATTTTAATACTGAAGCAAATAGTCATTTTATAACAAACAACTCTTCTTTCTAAATCAATAACTGTAATGAGTTTTGAGGAAATGGAATTATTTTTAAAACTATTAGGACTGTTAGATATTCAACATCATTATTACTTATCAGTGTTATTACTAAGAAAGCAAAACAATATTTTACTACAGAAATACTTCAAATCAACATTTTATCTTCTGTTCCAACTGGTTTCTTAAAGAAATTTATTGCAAGATACATTTGTTATAGTTTCTCCTCAAAACCTGAAGCAGATCAAATTATGGAAAAAATACTTAAATTTAGACAAATACTTATTAATGATACAGACTCAAATTCTCTTAAATTAAGACCACTCTTTAAACGTTCGTTTTAATAATTATTAGGAACCTTTTCTATTGAAAAGGAGTTGACTGAATTAATTCCTTGTATTATCAAAGGAAATTATAGAATTAACAAAGATAAATTGAAAATATGAAAAAAGAAAGAAACAGTTATTTTTTCATTGAATTTATTCTTTATTCAATGAAATATAACAAAGGTTATTTTAATCCTTTTTTACTTAAATTTTCTGCCAACAAATTTATGGGATTTAATATTTCTCAGTTGATAAAAAAGAAAATTACTAAAACTCACGCAAGTATAAATTTGACTGAAGTATGATTCTTTATTTAAGTTAATTTTTTTTACTTACATGAAAAAGATAACGTATTTGATAAAAAGGTAGATTAGACACTAATAGCAAATACGTACTACGTTGTGAACAAATAATATGATTGGGTTCAAATTATTTATTTTTGGAAGATTTTTGAAAATAATTTAAATAATAATTTGAATTTGAGCTTCATTGAATTAATTCGATTGTTCTACCTTGGTTTAATATTCACATTTCTTTTGTAGAACTTTCGTCTCAATTTAGAGTAATAAAATAATATTATTTATCATAAAAAATACTATATCTCTATTATTGAAACTTTTCATGAAAAAAAACTATTTAGTATTAATAAAATAATTATCAATAAAACTAAAAAAAATTCAAAGTTCAACTCTTTCTCAAAAAGAATGATTTTAATGTTTTAAACTTATCAAAACAAGAAATAGTATATTTCTAATAAATTAATAATAAAGAAGAATTCTGTAATTAGAAAAACAAAAAAGAAAAAAAATACTTTTTATGAACTAATTTTGATTGAAAAATCTTAATAAAAGATGTATTTTTAATATTAAAAAAAACAGGAAAATTAGGAAAATAAAAACAAGAAATTTCAAAGTTTCCATTGGTAGAATTAAGAAAAGTTTAGGAGAACTTAGTCGTTTTAAGGAAGTAGTATCTACTATTAAGTTAAATGAACTTATCAGATTTTGACACAACAGTTATTGAAGAATCTTTTTCAGAAGATGCTAAAGATTTAATTAATGAAGAAAACAATAAGGACAAGGAGTTTACAAAAACTGGTTTACAACAATTAAAGAACGCTTATCAAGAATGCTATCTCCAATACCAAATTGGTTCTAAAACAACTAAACAACAACTAAAACCTATTTTAATGGAACTACATCAACTCATTCAAAAATTATTCTCTATACTGAATTAATTTGTATTTGTTTAACAAATTTTGTGGAGTAATACATATTTTAACTTATTTATTATTAATTTAATACTCTTTTTCTTTTTTTTTTTTTTTTTATTAACTTTTATAATAAATTATTTTTAAAATATTATTTCTTTTTTTTTTTAAGAAAAGTTAATCTAACAATATCTAATGAAGTATAAAAATCTTATTGTAAAAATATTCGTTTGATAAAAATAGAATAACTTCTATTAAAATTAAATTACAAAATTATCTATAAAAACGTTATATATAACATTAAATAAATAAAATTAAAAAAATAAAAAGAAAAAAACTTATTAAAAAAAAACTAATAAATAATTTATTTATGAAACTATATTCATTATTCATTTATAGTGAAGCAGGTATTTGTATGTATTATTATAATTTTCTTAAAAATGAAATACCACCACAAAGACTAATCGAACACCAACAATTTATATCAGGACTAATTCAATCAATAACTAACTTTTGTGATTGTATGAATCCTTTAGCAATTTCAAATACTTTTGAATGTTTTTGTACCGACACTTATAAATTTCATTATTACCAAACACCAACAAATTTAAGATTTGTATTATTAACAGATAATTTAGCACCATGTTATACATCATTATTAAAAGAATATTATTTAAATTGTTATGTTCCTTCAATATCAAAGAATCCGTTATTTACTTCTGAAATAGAAAATATAAAATGTCCATTGTTAGATAAGAAAACAGAAGATTATTTTAAAACTAAAAATGATTAATAAAAATTGAATTTATTATTTTTTACTTCATTCTATTTCAAATTCTTACATTTACATTAATGACTTACTTGATCTATCAGCTTCAATAATTTCTATAAATGCATCTTCGAGTCCTTTTTGTTGAATTTCCCAATCTTCAATTTTTAATGCTTCTTTATGTTCTAATATTTCACTAAAAATATTACTTAGTCTTTTTTTATCAATAGGAATCATTGCTGTTAATATACCTCTTTCTTCTTTTACTTCGACATCTTCTCCAAGTAATTGTTTAAGGAAATTAATAACTTGTACTCGTTCTTCTGAAGCAATTTTTATATAGTATCCTGGTGCATAATGGTTCCTAATTCTTTGACAAGTACCTAATGCAATAAGATCTCCGTCTGACATAATACCAACCCTATCACACAAAACATCAGCTTCTTCCATAGAATGAGTAGTAATAATAATACATCTATTTTTCTGAATTTTTAAAATTAAATCCCATACATCTCTTCTAATAGCAACATCTAATCCAGTTGTTGGTTCATCTAAAAATATAACTTTAGGATTTCCAGTCATAGCAATTGCAATACTAAGTCTTCTTCTCATACCACCAGATAATTGTGAACTTCTTCTGTTTTGTGGTTTTGATCT